AAGATTACATAAGAGCAACACCCGAGTTCAAGGCTGGTTACAACAAAACACCAAACGAGTATTCTCGTCTCAAAATATACAACATTTGATATAGCGCCCAATCTAACTAACGTAAGCCACTATAAAGTGCTTTACAGTACATAGATATACAATTAGCATATACATTAATCAATACAATTTAGAAGAATTCGCGGGAACTGCCTTATCAGGCGATAACTATGCCACCTGGCTAATAGCTCCCTATGTGTGTATTCCCGCGTGTGTGCTGGAGATGTAATGTGTTCTGTTTGTAGTGGGACCGTGCTTCCAATGGCATCATATATAGTGTCGCCTCACTTGAATGCTACAACACATATACCGCAACATCCATCCCAGACCAATGTATACACCAAATATAGCTGTAACAAATTATCAGGTCCCTGTGATTCGAACCATATCCCATTTCGATCAAAACGAAAGAGGAATGTTTCCGTTCCATATTCATTTTATTCTCATATGTCTGTTGAAACCTTTAACATTATTTCTGAATGTTAAATTCTGGCGAAGATCATTTTAGTATAAACTAAACATGAAACAATCATGAAATTTGATTTAAATTTCCTTTATATTTATATATGCGATAATTGGCAATACACCAGGTGTTAAACATGCTATATCCTGTGTTTCATAACATATCAATGTGCCCTTATATATCGGTAACCCCGAAGTTGGTAACCTCTTGAATATCGTGATATCCTCGCAACACAAGAACGTGTACTCCTGTGTTTGATAACGGATAACCTCTGTTGTATAGAATCACTTAGCGTGAATGCGTGTTGACATCCGTTCTATTATGTAGGATCGCGATATAGTATTAAATTTCTCTCGTTCGCATATTTGTTATTCATTTTGTGTATTTAGAACCCACCTTCAGGTACCTTCGTCGACCGTGTTCACCTGCAGTGTTCTGAAACATATATTCGTGATAGATGCATACAAATGTACATGATATAGAGGATCTTGCATGAGTGTCCATGTCAGGAACACGAATGTAATATTCTATTTATCACATACAATTTATAAATTGAAAAAAAATATGCAAACGCAATCACGTGTTTGTTATCTACATAAAAACATAAGTACTGCGATCATAGGATTGTCGTTCCGCGCAGTGACAAAGTATAGTGCCATTTTTTATTATTATTATTATTATTATTAATGAACAGTTTTAAATGCGATGAGAATAATAATGACAAAATAAAAAATTCAAATCATTTAGAATAACAGTAAATGTATCATATGTTATAGTAAATAAAAGTAGTACCCGTAGTTGCGTAGGAATATGATTTCACGGTTTTGACCAATCGCAGCACCTTTAGGCTTTATTACACGTGTGTAATACCATATTTATGACATGGCCGTATGCCATAGTGAAATTGGTAAGTTATGTGATAAATAGTGCTCAATAATGGAATATTAATCGTTTAGACCACTGCATGGTGCTATATATATCTTACTTAACATTTTACAAATTTTAACGTTTTTAATTCTTTATAGCTTCTTTTGATATGTGTGAAGTCTTTTGACGATTTTGACGATTTATGCCCAAAAAGACTTTCTTGTGTCGAGGTACCGTTCATTGTTAACACATCAACCGTCCATCTATCTCTATGTCCAACTTCGAGCTCCTGATACAAATATAGCTACTTCCAGGACAAGGCGCTATTCGTTTCTTGACCTTCCCGTCTTCTTTATGCCCTTTGGGCTCTATTCCAGGACAAGGCTTGCATTGTGGTGCTTGTTGGAGTATTACAGAGAATGTGTATCATCCATCTCAAACTCAAATTCATGATATAATCAGCTGCATTCGGGTACCCTGCTTCAACTAATTGTTGCTTATATAAAAATAGCGTTTGGCCAATATATCAGAAGGTTTCTTCGCACTTATACATCTGTCATTGAAGGTCTGCAATTTCTTTGAAATTATCCCTATGGTTCTGTTTAATATAATTTCCAGAGATAATCCTTATATTACCCTGTGATAAATATATGTATGTATTGACTTGTAATACACTGTGATATTTTCTAATATTCTAAATGCAATTCTGTGATATTTAGTGATACAATATAATAGGTTGTCTTAATAATGTATTGTACTATTTAACTACCTTTTTCTATTTTATTGTATGCCATATGTCTCTGTATGCGTGATGTGCTGTTGTTTTATGTATGTATATATAATGTGTTTTACAGGTCCATATTGTAAACTAGATGAAAATCTAAATATGTTACCCTGTCTAAATAAAAGAATTTATTATTATTTATTATTATTACTGTACGTCCTTTTTGGATGCCACTGTACGTCCTGTCCACACAGCAGTACTGACTTCTCATTGCTGTTGCAGATCCTAACCTTGGTCTGTAGCGTCAGCACATAATCGATGAAAGCATCCATTTCTTCCAAGGATTTACCTCCCAAGCGAAGTAGGGGCATTGTTTGTTGTTTGGCGTCAGGGCTGTTTTATTTACCTCGTTGATGTTAAAGCCGACAAGGACGGAAGTGGCTGCCGCTTTGTCGTGAGTGGAATAAAAACGCAAGGTCGTCTCCAACGTCATGAGCGTCAAGGCTTGGTTTTATCTTATTTTGTTTAACGTCCTTCTAACAGTTAAGGTAATTTAAGGACGAGCGTTACAATTTATATTAATCACTCTTGTAGGACCGGATGTTAGCGCGCGGAGGGTTATTGTGGGAGGAAACCGGAGTACCCGGAGAAACCCCACGTGTTCGGGTGATAGGGCAGGACGATGGCCCCATACCTTTTCACATTCGATAAGGGAATCGAACCCCGGCCGCCTTGGTGAGGGGCAAGAGCGCTATCCACTGCGCCACCCGACCATCCATTTGGGGTTGGGGGTTGGTTAGAGCGACTTTAATTATTTAGATCGTTATCCAAGGTTCGATCCCTAGTCTATATCCCCCCCCCCCCCCCCCCCCCCACACACTCTCCCGTTCTTTTAGATTAAATTACTCAAGGCTAAGGCATATAGGTTTCTGCTGAGAATTATCAGATAATTCAAAATATAAATTAAAAATATCCTTTATTTACATATGAACAACTTTAAAATTACAATTTGCCCTTTGTATCATGTAACAAGAAAATCCTTAATTAATTTGAATCGTTCTGGGAGTAAAAATGCAACGGGACAAGAGAAGGATTGGAATCCCTGGCCACCGATCACATATAAAATGTGGTTTGATACGAGACATTATGTATGTATACATCAGCAAAACAGTATCACTTCACTTCAAAGGGAAATAAAAATACATCCAGAACGTTGGCCCAACATATATGTTTATCAGCTGGAGCAGACGACAGGATATCGCAGGAATGTCACAAGTTACAGATAAACGAGTATTGTCATATATATTTATCGTACGTAATTATATGACCTCACACGACAGCTGTGAGATCGCAAAGATAAACACAATTCCTACTGAGACGTATATATGACGTTAACGAACGTAATATTTTATTTTTTAAACTTTTTTTTACATGACGAACTTGCGTACGCTGATTCTTGAAAGCTACAATGTATATTACATTGTTTTACACATATTTTATTGTAATTTATATACAATGGGAGTTGGGCACAAGTTTTACAACTTATATTAAGCCCTTTCCCTACAATATATTACTACAAATTATCAAAATGACATATAGCATGACTTCAGGAAAGAAAATACTGCAGAGGTTACCAGGGTCAACACTGTGAAGTATGGACATACATCGTTTGCTTTTGAGGCCGCCCGGGTGTGGAACAGTCTCCCAAATGACTTCAGAAAAGTTGAAAACTTCGAAGAATTCAGGAGGCTGGTCCATTCCTGGTTTGGCCTCATCTGCCTTTGCAATATCTGCAAAGAGTGATACTTCATACTGTGCCCTGGTTACCTGTCACCTGACATTTTGGATTGTGTGATACTTGTATTGTCTTATCTCATTTCTTATATGTTTTAATTCTATTCTATGATTTTGCTGCATCTTTTTTGTATTTTAATTCCATATATTCTAAACATTTTATTTTTACAAAACTTGATAAGTTTTGTTAACTGATTTTGGTATCATTTTTAATTCACACTGTAAAAGTGTATATTCTGTCAATTTTTATTCTTTGCTATATTAGCATTGTATGTATACAAATGTGTATTCCACTTCATAGTGTTTAATCCTAAGTCCTAAGTAATTCTTGTGTGATATACAAGTATTCATTCACTATTAACTATGTCTTTTTTTAACTTATTCTGAATACTACTTATCTGTGATCACATTTGATGCTTTTCATATATTAACACTATTTTTATATATATATCCCGGGGGCCTTTGTAGGTAGGGGACTCCCAATCACTTAGAAACCTGGGATATGTATACTTTCTTTTTCTGTGATGATTATTACTGTTGTTGTTTTTATTAATATATGTGATTATTTCCCTTTACTTGTAATATGCGACGTTAAATAAAGTTTATTGTATCTTGTAACATAAATGTTTACATTGGTTTTAATTGTGTTTGTGTGTGTGTGTGAGAGAGAGAGAGAGAGAGAGAGAGAGACAGAGAGGGGGAAGGGGGGGGGAGAGAGAGAGAGAGAGAGAGAGCTAGATTCGGATTAGTTGGTAAACATGAAGGAGTGCAAGACAATATACTCAAAATCTGTTAGTATCTTGAATAAATTGCTGCGTCTGTTTGGCTATTAGTATGTTTTCTTGATATGACAATTCACTATTACCGTATAGTAGTAGTTGCAAGTTAAGTGGAATTAAATAATCATTTAATTCGCGGTAGAATTACATTAGAAACATTGCCATATTTACTAGATATATACAGTAACATATAATATGACGAATCCTATATGAACACGAAACGATCGTGAAGGTCTTCAACAGTTCAAGAAGTATTGAAACAGTAAGGAAGTAATTACGTATACGTATACGTAGGACGAACGTTATTCCAATGTACTCTGTTATCGTAAATGAAAATTGCCACAATGTGTCATAGGCCTAAATACTGCATCTCGTCATGGAAGTGCCGGCTTCTAGAACGGTGATCTATCGATGATTCTAGTCTGTCCGTACAATGGCATGGGTAGGCCTACGTAGGTCAAGTGCAGTGAACCGCACCGTCTGTTGACAGTATATAGACGGTGGTGTATTCATTAGGCCTGCCTGGACAAGGTGCTGTTCCCTGAACATGCCGCGCAATATGGGACCTCACTTCTTAACACAGACATGTGATGATACCTTGATTTATAACAAATTATAAGTCTTAACCATTACCATACCAGAAAGTGCAGGAATTCATAAAAACGGAGTTGAAATTTTGGAACGGCGAAGTGGTGGCACAGAAGGAAACCCGTTTGTGTGTTGATTGTGACCACACACGTGCACATTTACGTGGTTATTTATAGCTAAGCGCACGCGCGTACCAACACCCAGTGTCATCATGGTGAACATTGAAGAGTTTTGCGGGAAAGACGGTGGAGCTATATGGGTAAGATATCTACAAACAAATGAAAGCCGACATCTTTGGACATGATCCTCTGAGGATTTGGCCTAGTTTCGTTTTGTCTCTAGATTATGTAACACATTTGTCTTTACTTCGTTGTATTCAAATGTCACCCGAATGTGTGAGTAATATAATTTAACGTTTAATTCCTAGGTAAATGTCAGATGTTAGATTCAGTATTTGTATTGTATAAGCATTATGCATGGCTGACTTTAAGCAGTAGACTCCAATATTTTAGAGTTATCCCCCTTCCATTACGTTCTAATTTGTCACTTGTAGGTCAGTTACCTGTTGAGTCAGTGATTTCATTTGAAAGCGAACGCCGTACTTTATCAATCATTGAAATATTATTATCTGATTTTGTGACAGAATAAAACAGCTGAAATTCCTCAAGGTGACATTTTTGTCAAGTGACAATTAATGTCGTCGGTACCTGATAAGTTGCATTATAATCTTTAATATATTTGTTCAGGAGTTGTGCATATGCTGACAAAGCAATTCATTAGGGTCATTGATGAATGAAGGAAAATGAATGGAAAGCTTATATGTAAAATGTTCTTGGTATTTCACACTTAAATCACCACACACAAATGCTTGAAGTTGAAGGGTGTATTCAATGGTCTATATATATGTACAGCGTTTAAGGGTATACAAGTGTGGAGTTTTTAACAAGTGGTTATTATTACTGTTTATATTTCATTAATTAAGATGGATGTTATTTGTTTTCTCAATATAATGGTAAGTCAGTTTAGAGGGTCTGTTTGGTGGTTCACTGTGTGTTTATAGCTCAGAGATAAGGGTCCAGTAGCTGAGTAGAAATTGATAAGGTCAAAGGTTATGAGCCTCCCTGGTACAGCAGTAGGGCAGAGACGTGTTTATACGTCTCTGAGTAGGGTTATAGTTATAAATAGGCGGGTGGTTATTCTGAGGGGATGAGATATAAATAGGTGTGTGGTCGTTCTGAGGGGATGAGATATAAATAGGTGTGTGGTCATTCTGAGGGGATGAGATATAAATAGGTGTGTGGTCATTCTGAGGGGATGAGATATAAATAGGTATGTGGTCATTCTGAGGGGATGAGATTATAAATAGGTATGTGGTCATTCTGAGGGGATGAGATATAAATAGGTATGTGGTCATTCTGAGGGGATGAGATTATAAATAGGTTTGTGGTCATTCTGAGGGGGATGAGATATAAATAGGTATGTGGTCATTTTGAGAGACTGGTGTACATGTATTAATAGGTATGAGGTCATTACTGGAGTAAATGGGAAGGGCTTGCATATTTAATGAGTTGGTCAGTTGTTGGTATTAATAGATTTTTCTACCTATACATCTTGTTCCATTATTAGACACGATCCCTGTATTTAGTACTAGATGTTTGTATTTAGATGTAGCTCTATCTTTAGTTTATCTTGTCTCTAGTTATATTTAGTATATGATGTCATTGGCTAAGTTTAGTATGAGTTTGAGTATATTTAGAATATGATGTCAGTTCTTAAAATAGTTGTGCCTATATAAAGGGCTGTTAGGGAGTTCAACGGGGAGTTTTCGAGTAGATTGAGAAGAGAGAGAATCCTATGGAGAGGATGAGTAATGACTCGGAGAGTATTCGGTAGACTTGCGAGGAGTCTAGTGGAGTAATTTGTAGTGTATAGAGTATTAGTTAGTTGAATTAGTTGAATTAGTGTAAACCTCAGTTGTTATTTAGTTATATTACTTTTGTGGGAGGGTCGGTTGTTTACTTCTCACATTTGTATTACTTTGTTAAGTATGATTGTTGTTTATGATTTAGAGACAGGGATCTGTTACTTTCTGTGTTATTCACCCTTATGTAGGGTAGGGCTTTTCGTTCAGTGTAGGATTCCTGGCGATCAGCTGCTACGATACCGGTGCTGAAATCTGTGTGTTTACACTTTTGAGACGGCCGGAAGTGGGTGATAGTAATAACAGGAATAGGTTCCCGCTCCTTGCTCACATGCTTTTAGATGGTGAGGCTGGGTTCGAGATTAACAGTTGGTCACTCATCTTCGAGGCTATTTGGTGGGGGGAGCAGGGGGTATAAAACAGTGGGTCCGGGAGGGGATCAGTGTCTTGACAGGGTCGGTGAGCCGACCCACTTCTCCTGGTGAGGAGAACATTACCGCCTCATGCGCTGTTAACAGTGCAAAACATGGGCCGAGGTGCTGCTAACAGTACCAATACCGTAGGACTACATGAAGTTATCGTTCCTGGGATATATAGAGTGCTATAGGAACTACAGTACATGTATTAAGGGATAGTCAGGGGCTTCGGGCTTAGACATCGATACATGGTGGTTCGCTGTAGATCTATAGGGAGCTAGGAGCACGTGGTCGTAGTCTACTGGTAGTACTGTTAGGTAGGATAGGTCATTACTCTACGTAGGGATTGGGTTTCTTAACATTAGTTGTCATTGTTTGGCACTAATGCTATGCTTTGTATTTGTTAAACTTGTTGTACATAATCATTCCGTCTTGTTAATAAACAGTTACTTGTATTTTAAACACCTTGTTGAGTTATTGAATCAATGGATGGTACTACCACTACATCCAGCGATCGAACCTGTAGTGAAAACAGGTCTGTAACCTGACGAAAGAGGCGAGGTCTAGAGAGGACTGCAGGGGAAGTTGTCGACTCGTTACCATTGCTAAAAACTATACGATCACGAAACGGATTTAACGGAGTGACAACGGATGCAAAACCCTCTTCGGACCTCCCCCTATTGCAGAATGGTGCCGTGACCAGGATGTAGTTGTGCAAGTACTGATGCATGATTCATGATCACTTTGTTGTTTTAAAAATAATACATATTAGCGGTATTTTGTACTCAAGTTTTATTGTCATAATTTGTATTTGTGACGTTGTAGATACTCTATTGAAAGATATTCAAGGCCTCTAACAATATACTGTCTACTAGAGTTTACAAGTTTTTAGGTTGATATTTTTGTTGTTGTTGCATTTTTTTAATAGAAATCTACCAATAAATATGGATAAAAATAGTGATACTGAGTTAGTCTCTGATCGGGATTATGATAGCATAGAGGGAGATACAGAGGGGCATGGTAGTGTATATGTTCCATGTTCGTCACCCGGAGATAGACAGAAGGTGTCAGGGGTAGAAACTATCCCACCTATGCCTACATGGATGTCTTCTGGAGATGGACAGGTGTAAGGGGTAGCAACTATCCCACTAACACCTACAACCGCTTCACCTAGAGATAGATTTTTGGGTCAGAGTAGGGCTAGGGTTTCTCGTAGAGAAAAGCAACCCGATACCTTTAATGGATCAAGTAGTGATTGGCAGGACTACATAGTACATTTTGAGCAGGTTTCTACATGGAATGGGTGGACAGAAACTGAGAAAGCTCAGCAATTAAGTATGAGTCTTCGGGGAACTGCTCAGAAGCTTCTTAGTAGCCTAACTAGTGGTCAGCTGTCCAATTATCAGGCAATTAAGAATACACTGACTCAAAGGTTTAATCCTAAGGAACGTAGTGTTGCCCATAGGTGTGAGTTTAGGAATAAACAGCAGGGAAAAGGTGAATCGGCTGCTGACTTTGGGTATACTCTAAGGAGACTAGCTTTGTTAGCTTATCCAGAGCTACCATATACATACCTGGAGACCCAGGTAGTAGATCAGTTTATCAATGGGTTGAGGAACTGTGAAATGAGAAAGAAGGTTACGTTTAGTCACCCACAAACATTAGACGAAGCTATTTCCTCAGCTGTTGAGTTTGAAGCAGTGTTAGGTTGCACCTCCATTAAACTTCATGGCGATTCAGTGAAAGTTTGTACTTTACAAACGGTTAGCGCTAAGTCTAAATCTAATGAATATGAGAATGAGGAGAAATTGACACAAGAGACAATAACCCAACTTATCGATAAACAGATAGGTAATTTGTCTAGGAGTAGAAATGAGCATAGAAAACGTTCAATCGAGACAACTACAAAAACTGGTGCTTGCTATTTTTGTAAAGAAGTAGGGCATTACGTAAGGGACTGTGCTAGGCTCAGTACTCTGAAGGAAAGGGAAGAAAGGGTAGCAAAAGTAGAGTCAGACCAAAGGAAAGCTGAAGTCGCAGCCAAGATCCCAGCTGGTCAAGATGCAATACACACATTATGTATTTCTAGGCATAAAACAAGGTTGGAGAAAAGAGAGAAGACTCAAGGGAAAACAGAAAAACAAGAGACGGTGTCAAGTCAGGTTCGACAAACATTACATGATGTATATTCAGACATGGGTTGTCTTTATACAGATGTGCAGGTGCACAATGTAACATGTATGATGCTGATAGATACTGGGTCTCCTGTTTCTGTTCTCTCCTATGCAGAGTTTTCAAAATTGGGGTTAGATGAACTGTCGCTACAGAGATTTGAAACAAATATCACTACAGCGGATGGTAACCAAGTGGAAGTTAAAGGGTGTATTCCTTTAGTTTTCGAAATGGGCTCAAATACTTTTGAACAAATATTTGTAGTGGCTACCGTAGATAACCTGTCTGGGATGCTGGGAATGGATTTCTTGGTGAAATACAATAGTACAATCCTGTTAGAAAAGGGAATACTTGAGACCTGTCAGGGAAATTTTCATTTAAGTCAACAGAGACGTGATAGTGACAATGTAGTACTATCTGTAATGAACATGGAACCACAAATTGTCCGTAAACAGCCAGAGTTGGTAATTAGTACTGTAGATACAGTAACTAAGGACATAGGTCAGGAATGTACAAAGATAGATGAGATTGTGGATAGTGAACATCCAATCAGAGTTAAACTTCGTAAAGGAAGTAATGCTGTTAATATGAACACTACTGAGGGAGATACTCATTCCGTGAACGATTCGAATGAAGTCTCAGTCTTGAAAAACGAATCTTATGAGAAGACTTATTTAGCTAGTACCAACAATGCTACCTCAATCAATCTTCTGATAGGTATGACGATAGTGATGATTGCGATGACTATGCTTGGTATGATTAGGTCTGATCAACTAGTTCATGTATTACTTACGGGTCATACTGATGAGTGTAAAATATCTGGTTCAAATCTGGTGACACTACTAGACAGAAAATGGTACTGTCAGACAAGTCGTGTCGCTATTGGTAGACCAAAGGTTTGGTATCCTCCGTAACTAGACCAGGTATAGCTATGGATGTGTAGATGTGTAAATACGTAGTAGGAAATAGGTTGTTATAGTTCGTTTTTATATTGGAAAGTAGTTGATACAACACCGGAAATGGGTGGGGTATCTGTAACAATCCGAGCAACTGTTAATAGTTGTCATTATTGAATTAATATAGGAGCCACCTTTACTCCCTATATGCAGAGTTAGATGAAGTTAGCCAAAGGGTAGTAAACATAAATCTTAGTACAGTAATATGTGAATTTTGTAGTAGAGATGTGGTCTTCTTAGAACTTGTATATAGTACCAGACATATACGAGGTAGAGACAATACTGTCTAGTTTGAACAGACATGAATAATGCTTAGGTACATAGCCTAACACTAGTGTCTCAGGAAATAAGTACAGGAGCTTTACCATGGCGTGGACAGGGGTTTGGAGCTCAAGGAACTGTAAACAGTTCCACCGAGTTCCATATCCGTAAAATGTTCAAGAAGATTATGATGGTCCAACAAGGGACACCGAGCCGATGGGAACGGGAACTCCATACGCTCCCAACCGCCGACCAAACCATGAGACCAGGAGGGAAAGGAACCATACCACAAGCTTGACTGAGGGATTAATGAAGTATCCTGACAGATTCGCGGGAATGCTTAAGCTTTATTGTGTATTTCAACGCATGTGAATAAGTGTTATGCATTGTCAATATGTGTGTCATGCCTTATGTGGACTAATAGAACTTTGATGAACTTTTGTTGCACATGGTACAAAGTTTAGGACTTGGATAAATAGCTGTATTCACAAATATTGTAATGGACATATATATTTGTTGATTATGTCATGCAAATTACATTTGCATCACTGGGTAGTATAGATATTGGAACTAGGAAAAGGTAGGCATAGTTTATCTGTAGCCTAGCGTGGGTTAACATTAGCAGTCGATAGTCATATAACGTGGTTATTTGTTAAGATTGTTATTAGACAAAGTAAATTTATTATAGAAAAAAAAAATATTACTTTGATCTTAGGGGGGAGGAGTGTGGGAGGGTAGGTTGTTTACTTCTCACATTTGTATTACTTTGTTAAGTATGATTGTTGTTTATGATTTAGAGACAGGGATCTGTTACTTTCTGTGTTATTCACCCTTATGTAGGGTAGGGCTTTTCGTTCAGTGTAGGATTCCTGGCGATCAGCTGCTACGATACCGGTGCTGAAATCTGTGTGTTTACACTTTTGAGACGGCCGGAAGTGGGTGATAGTAATAACAGGAATAGGTTCCCGCTCCTCGCTCACATGCTTTTAGATGGTGAGGCTGGGTTCGAGATTAACAGTTGGTCACTCATCTTCGAGGCTATTTGGTGGGGGGAGCAGGGGGTATAAAACAGCGGGTCCGGGCGGGGATCAGTGTCTTGACAGGGTCGGTGAGCCGACCCACTTCTCCTGGTGAGGAGAACATTACCGCCTCATGCGCTGTTAACAGTGCAAAACATGGGCCGAGGTGCTGCTAACAGTACCAATACCGTAGGACTACATGAAGTTATCGTTCCTGGGATATATAGAGTGCTATAGGAACTACAGTACATGTATTAAGGGATAGTCAGGGGCTTCGGGCTTAGACATCGATACATGGTGGTTCGCTGTAGATCTATAGGGAGCTAGGAGCACGTGGTCGTAGTCTACTGGTAGTACTGTTAGGTAGGATNTCGAACCTGTAGTGAAAACAGGTCTGTAACCTGACGAAAGAGGCGAGGTCTAGAGAGGACTGCAGGGGAAGTTGTCGACTCGTTACCATTGCTAAAAACTATACGATCACGAAACGGATTTAACGGAGTGACAACGGATGCAAAACCCTCTCCGGACCTCCCCCTATTACACTTTGGAGTGAAATTTCCGGACATATAGTAAGTTGATCTTAACTGTATGTATTAGAAGGAATATCAGTCTTCTTCATTTGATCTTAAATTGGACTATTTCTAAGTGTGTCAACTTTATTTGGATTACAAATTTTCCTCCTGGAGTACATTTTAGGTAACTTTATTCACTTGAACTTTTGGCAGATACATTAATTAAATTCCAGTTAATAAAACTTTAGTTAACCTTATCATAACTTGTGTGTTGTGATTTTATCTCTAGCATTTGTCAGAACGACTGGACTTTCATTTAACATAGAGGAATTAACAATAACATTAATAGCGAGATGGTGTCAGAAATGGAAACGTAACAAATTGGTGTCAGAAGTGGGATGCCTAAAAACGTAACCCAAGTATAGTCCAATCGTCCATGGCAAATATTTTAGTTGTTGTTTTTGTCGGTGACAAATGGAAATTTTTAACTAGCAGATTTTGAAAAAGGAAGTTTGCCTGTACGTTAAAGTGATAACACCTATATAAAAGGCCTAACCAAAAAGTAAGTTTGTTTCCTGTTACATGCTGGGAAATAAATAGGGTAGGGGGTAGGGATTATTTTCATTTTTTTTTTTTTTTTTTTTTTTTTTTTTTTTGACATTCTATGAAATTGAACACCAAAACAAAAGATAACGCAGACATCACCCATATGAAACCACATTGTAGCAGATATTAGAACTAAGGTGCCCAAGACCGACTTGCCAGTGATACTTGATAAATACAGAACAATAAAATATTATTAACAGTTAGTATTTATTACAACAAAACAAAACATTGCTTGGGCAGATATCTTAACAAAAGCAAAAAAAATGGAAATGCTGCTACTAAGTCACTAGTGTTGCTTTGGCTATCCCTCTATGTGCCTAATCTGATATGTTGGATCATATGTCATCTTTTTTGTTTTCCGTATGGTAAGTTAATAACGTCTGCCACTGAAAGGCGGATCCCAATTAACTTCAAAAATTTGTTCAGATGCAGGCTCTGTACTCGCTAGAATAGTGAAGCGATTTGCTTTTGTGTTTGATTCGTCAGAGTCAGTGGTATCTTTCAAAAACGTCTGCCATCAAATTAGTTGCGGGTACCGCTGCCATCAAACGTTTCTCGCCGGCGTGATCACATTTATTAAACTTTAATGCAAGCATTGCTGTGTGAAGGAAAGCCATCTTGAAACTCAGTCTGTGTCGAAAGAGCGCTTCAATACGTTGATCTGCTTAAATGACCCTGATTGTTACAAGCGTCTAAAATTTAAGACAAAAAACGGTAACAAAAATCCAGAAATTCCAATTTTTGCTGAAAAATTGTTAGGGTCGCGCAGTAAAAGTAGGGTCAGTTGGGGAACCGGAAACAAACATGATTTTAGCTAACCTGTCCCAAAGGTGTGGCCCCTCTGGGGGCAGAGTGGCGAGGCCCAAGGCAGAGGAGCATCATGAGGGCCAAATAGGGGAAATAGAGAAAAAAAAAATCTCCTACTATGCAAGTGAAGGGATTTAAACTAAATGTAGTCTGAAGCATGCTTAAGGACAAACGTAATATCTCAAAATGGAGGATGTGTGCCCCCCCCCGGGGCAGAGAAGGCGGGCCCAATAGGGGAAATAGAGAGTGAAAAAAAATCCTTTCTGGACATGTACAAATGAATAAATTTAAACCAAATGTGGTCTGAAGCATGCTTAGGGGGAAAAATTCAATTTGTTCAATTTGTAAAAAAAAAAAACCCTATAGGGGAACTCATTTTACTTGGTGTCTTACCCACCAAAACAGATTTACATGGAGTTCTTTTTTGCAACTTAGTTTCTTGTACTCTTTTGATAAACCTGTATGGTACTCAGCAGGTTTTAAATTGAAAATAAAATACCAGGTGAGCTATTAAGGCCCCTGGGCCTCTTGTTTTGTTAGGCCTAAGGAATAGGAGGGTAAAATACTGCATTACTGGTTAATTAGCTTTTATGTGATATAACCCGAGGACCCGTTCACTAGTTCAGCAACGTCCAGCATGGTCAGTAGTTGGATGCATGGGTGAACGCCCGCACGTTACATTTGGTGGCAGCGGTGGGATTCTGTGATCATGTAAGGCCAGTTCCTGGTGGTTAGGGAAGGTGCATTTAATGGACCTATGGGATTCCCCAGGTCAATTGTGCCGCGACGAGACTTCTCATAGAGGTTATAGTGTAACAGCTAAGGAATATGAGGGTAAATTACTGCCTAGCTAGCTTTTCCAGTGATGCAGTATAATCCGGGGAAGTGCTCACTAATTATTCAGCAACGTCGAGCGTGGTCAGTAGTTGGATGGCTGACAGCAGTCTATGTAAAATTGTACACCCCTGGTGATGTTCGGCTTAAGGACACGAAAAGAGAAAAGAAAATGATGAAAATAAAACCATTTTATTTTCTTAAACACATACTTTTATTATGGTCAGACTGCATGCACTCAATGGATTATATACCAAACATTAAAACTAATTGACTATCGCATTTAAAAAAAAAAAAAACTTGCAATAATTTCAATAAATATTATTTTTTAGGAACAATCATTGTAAATCACTTTTCAGCTAATCTACCTTACGACACTTATTCTAAGTTCTAGCTGTTCATATCAATCATCTGATGTTCTGTCCTGTGTTTCTGCATGTCATTCGATAGAAGAATAAATCCCCGAATTGGTCACAAATCATTTCCGATTAAGCAAACCCTGGAATAATAAGACCTATTAGATATAGTTTGTTCGAATCAATTTCCTTGACCTGCATTGTTAGTATTGTTTTTTTGAAAATTTATTTAATTTGTGACCATTTTGTTCGTTTCAGGATGATAATTTGTTGTTCAACAGTTCGTACCCAAGATTTACGGAGTGTTCCCAGAATACTCTGCTGGTTTGGGTACCATGTGGGTTCCTGTGGGTGACTCTCCCGTTCTACCTGTATGGTCTGTGTACATCAAACGGTGTGCCCCTCCCTCTGTCTAGTCTCAACATCACAAAATCTGTAAGTATAATGTCACTAAATAAGTTCAATTTTTATTTTTTGTAATGCAGCAGGAAATATATGTGTATGTTTAAAAGGTCATATATGATCATTGCTGTCTGTAGAACTGAAAGTTCCTACCCAGACAGTTAGCCAACATGATTGGACTATTATGAAGTGAACAGGGGGCTAACCACAAAATGCCTTGTTCACCATTAATTGTGGACAACGAGGGGAAGTAACTCATACTATGCTTATTTAATATCACCAGTTACCAAGCTGGCAGTACGTTTGTGAATTTAATAGTTGTCCTATGTGCTTACTGCAAGTGTGTTACATGTAACAGTTGGCTATCAAATATGAAGAATATATTTCAACTATAATTGTGCTTGTTTCACTGTTTAAAAACTACAATCAGAGTTGACACCAAAGGAGGGGTAGGGGGGGGGAATTATTGATAGATGTAAGTTTGTATAAATGTCATAATGGCCTTTAATTTTGTTCCGGAATGAATGAAATGATAAAATGTAGTAGTTTTTTTCACAAGCACATGAGTTTCTTGTAAAACAAATCATAATTATAAGTTTTAGTCTAGGGGTGATTGTGAATATGGTTTGCTAGCATTTAAAATGTCAAATAATATAATATTCTTTGGAATAAGATTCATCAGTTTGAACATAGACTGGAATTGAAAACTTATTTTGCGAGCTTTCGAAAATGACTGTTTCCTTTGTCAAGCAAAAAATGTAAATGGCCAGTGTCCTGCCCCCAAAGTGCTGAAAACAACACGTGCACACTAAGCCACAGTGTGCCGAATCATTAATGTCAGCTGTCAAAAATCGTGGAGACATTTTCGTCCAATTGCACTCTAGTACTGCAGGCAGTCAGGGTGATGGGTACCATGTTTAACTATTCCGCCCCTTATTGGATGTTAAAATGGGGTCCTTAAGATGACTTGAGATCTAGTTTTAATTTTGAAGTAAAAGTGAATTTGCGTTTTGATTTCAGTTCCTGAGTCTGGTGCTGTTCTTCCTCACAGCTGTACAGATGATTAAAGAGGCTAGTGACAAGACAGACAATGGTAAAGAGGTGTCGACTGCGCTCTTCCTGGCCGGTTCTATAAAAGTGGCCTCATTTGTGAGTCATTTTGTTTTTTAAGGTGTGAACCTGTGTTCTCTTACCCTGGACAGGTGTATATCCACACTTTTACTGGTGTGAGATTTCCTTTTCTCCCATCCTTCACAGGTGTGTCTCTTGTTTTTGCCAGGAAAGATCAGCTTGTCACCCCCTAGGGGGAGATAGCCTCGTGCTGATTAGCATGTGTTCAATTGTGATGTCATTAAAATGCGTCGCTGGTAATTTTGACGTCATTAAAAGTGAATAACGATATTCATACCCCACATGTGTTTTTGTTTACACTGCTGTCAGTGGAGTTTTGACTGAAATAATAGGATGGGAGAAAAATAGTCATCCCCTACCTTAAGGGTGTAACAGAGAAATCTCCAACCCTTGGGGTGATTTATTTGGTTTCTAACCCTCGGCAGAGCCTCAGGTTAGGCAACAAAAAATAATCACCCCTCGGGTTGGAGATTTCTCTGTCACACCCTCAGGGTAGGGGAAGATTCTGTTAGTCTCACCCTAGGGCTGAGACGGGGGGATTCCCCTATTCATAACAATGGTATGACCTCGCATCAACAATCCATCAATGACACGTCAACCCTGAATTTAGCATGTAACGTTTTCATTACATTATGATTATGATACACAATAGGAGAACAGGGTAAGATAAAAAGAATCATTCACCCCCTTGTGGGTGAGATAGGGGAGTCTCAACCCTCGGGGAAAGATTTTTAAGTTGCCAAGCACTCGGCAAAGCCTCGTGTCTGGTAACTAAAGAATCTTCCCTCACAGGTTGAGATTCCCTTATCTCAACCCCAAGGGGGGTGAGAGATTCCAGTATTCAAGATCCCTTTATCATCAGACATACTTTATAGATGAAGTCTGTGATCAAACTAACTTTCTGTCAAGGACTTGGGGCATTATTGGTCGCTTTTAGTTCATAAAAAGTAAAAAAACATCAACTTCAATTTATATACCTATTTCTGTTAAAAGCATCATATTGGTTAATTGGGGGTATCTTTCTTGGTGCAGATTTTTTCCACTGCGCATGTGTAGATACCCTACCAATGCAACAAATTGCGTTGTAATGCAGATTTAACAGCCAAAATGCGGTGTTTTTGGACAGTTAGTTAGAAGAAATGAAAGCCTCCGCAAGTGGCAAACAGAAATTCCTTTGCCAACACTGGTATGACAATGTTTAAACATGTCAAACATTTATTTGTTTGTTGCATGCATAGGCTTTCAAAAATTAAAGAGTGTTTAGTTAATATCCTTCAAAATTGCCAATTTTCAACCAAATAGCACACGACAGACGATATTCACGCATTTTATTATGAAAAGGTGGGTTTATGTTTCTCTTTATAAAGCCATATCTCCTTAACCAGTTGTCGAATGAATTTGAAATTTCATATTTGTGTACTTCATTTGTTCCATTTCACTACCCTGTAAATTGTATTGCCACCTTGTTATACTGCCAAAATATGCAAGGAACAAACGTTGGCAGCATAACAGGGGGAAATCGTATTTTATTTTCCCCAAATTGGATTTGTATGTGTGATTTTCCCAAAGTAACAAGGCACGTCAGGTCCGACTCCCTTAATTTGGAAAACAGGTAGAAAAATCACTGATTACAACTGTACTTTTTAATATTTTAATACTTTTGAATTTTGTATCTGACTCCGAGTGTTTCCCTTCCACAGGCACTGACAGCCCTGTTGATTCAGTTCGAGAAAAGGAGTGGTTTTATCACATCAGGCATTCTGTTTCTGTACTGGTTAATGATGACCATTGCTGGGATAGTACCATTCTACAGTAAAATCATACAAAAGGTAAGCAATCTAACACTTAAACATGGCCTCCTCTAGTTACTACAAACAGAACACAATACATCTCCAGCACACACGCACCCATACACACATAGGGTGATATAAGCCAGATGGCATAGGACTAGTAGTTAGCGCCTGATACAGCAGCTCCTGCGAATTCCTCAAAAATTGTATTGATTAATATATATGCTTATTGTATTGATTGTATAAAACTGAATATCTATGTACTATTAAGTGCTTTAGAGTTGCTTATTCTAGCTAGATAGGGCGCTATATATCAAGTGTTGTAAAATAAAAAAATAAAAAAATATTAATTTATCAATATTCTGTATATACTTTTCTTTTAGTTGTTTATATGATGACTTGTTTACATTTATTTCGGATTGGACTAGATAATAGATGTATCTTTCGATATAAATATTGACCAAAAATTATAGTGCACTCAGAACAAATGTTGAAGCAGTTTCTATAAAGAGTGCACTTTGGTTTTTGGTCAATACATCAATATAGACTAGTCTATATATTTTTCAAGGTATTTCCCAATATTGGAAAGAATACTGGCGAATGAGGTGAAGGAGAGGGGAAGAGTTTGTTTTTGTACACAAAAACAAATCTCTTACACCTTAAAAAGTTTGTAATACATTGTTTGTTGACTTTTACGTTTGTAATTCATTGTACGGTGACTTGTTTACCTGTGTAATTCATTGTACAGTGACTTGTTTACCTGTGTAAATCATTGTACGGTGACTTGTTTACCTGTGTGATTCATTGTACAGTGACTTGTTTACCTGTGTTATGCATTGTACAGTGACTTGTTTACCTGTGTAATTCATTGTACAGTGACTTGTTTACCTGTGTAATTCATTGGACAGTGACTTGTTTACCTGTGTAAATCATTGTACGGTGACTTGTTTACCTGTGTAATTCATTGTACAGTGACTTGTTTACCTTTGTAATACGTCTATTTCTGATTTTACAGGAGTACGAGGACGATCTGTTCACCTTTATTATGTTCTACGTGTACTGGGCAGCCCTATTATTACAGCTGATTCTTCACTGTATCGCTGAAAAAGTCACACGCCGGGGTTACCAACCACTTGGACAGGTAGGCTTATTCATGAAAAATTAATCGTAACTTTTGTTTTATCTAAAGAACAGTCAGACCTATGTTAAGAGACCACCATTGGGTTCAGAAGTGGTCTCACAATGAAGGTTGGCTATTAACTCATTCACTCCAGAAGGCACATTTGAACGCTTCCAATTCAAAGGTTTGAATAGTTCATGATGAAATTTCTGGGGTGAATGAGTTCACACAGGTTCAGTTCAGCAATCACTACAATGAGGAACATTGAAAGAGATTACTGTATACAGCCACTGTGTAGTGGTTACTGTATACAGCCACTGTGGAGAGGTTACTGTATACGGCCACTGTGTAGTGGTTACTGTATATAGCCACTGTGTAGTGGTTACTGTATCCAGCCACTGTGTAGAGGTAACTGTATACAGCCACTGTGTAGAGGTTACTGTATACAGCCACTGTGAAGAGGTTACTGTATACAGCCACTGTGTATTGGTTACTGTATACAGCCACTGTGTATTGGTTACTGTATACAGCCACTGTGTAGGGGTTATTGTATACAGCCACTGTGTAGCGGTTACTGTATACAGCCATTGTTTAATGGTTATTGTATACAGCCACTGTGGAGAGGTTACTATATACAGCCACTGTGGAGAGGTAACTGTACACAGCAACTGTGTAGTGGTTACTGTATACAGTCACTGTGGAGAGGTTACTGTATACAGACACTGTGTAGTGGTTACTGTATAGTGTAGTGGTTACTGTATACAGCCATTGTTTAGTGGTTACTGTATACAGCCACTGGGGAGAGGTTACTGTATACAGCCACTGTGAAGAGGTTACTGTATACAGCCACTGTGAAGTGGTTATTGTATACAGCTACTGTGTAGTGGTTACTGTATACAGCCATTGTTTAGTGGTTACTGTATACAGCCACTGAGTAGTGGTTACTGTATACAGCCACTGTGAAGAGGTTACTGTAGACAGCCACTTTGTAGTGGTTACTGTATACAGCCACGGTGGAGAGGTTACTGTATACAGCCACTGGGAAGTGGTTACTGTATTCAGCCACTGTGGAGTGGTTATTGTATACAGCTACTGTGTAGTGGTTACTGTATACAACCACTGCGTAGTGGTTACTGTATACAGCCACTCTGGAGAGGTTACTGTATACATCCACTGTGGAGAGGTTACTGTATACCGACACTGTGTAGTGGTTACTGTATAGTGTAGTGGTTACTGTATACAGCCACGGTGGAGAGGTTACTGTATACAGCCACTATGTAGTGGTTACTGTATACAGCCACGGTGGAGAGGTTACTGTATACAGCCACTGGGAAGTGGTTACTGTATTCAGCCACTGTGGAGTGGTTATTGTATACAGCTACTGTGTAGTGGTTACTGTATACAACCACTGTGGAGAGGTTACTGTATACGGCCACTGTGTAGTGGTTACTGTATACCGCCACTGTGTAGTGGTTACTGTATACCGCCACTGTGTAGTGGTTACTGTATACCGCCACTGTGTAGTGGTTACTGTATACCGCCACTGTGTAGTGGTTACTGTATATAGCCACTGTGGAGAGGTTACTGTATACCGACACTGTGTAGTGGTTACTGTATAGTGTAGTGGTTACTGTATACAGCCACCGTGTAGTGGTTACTGTATACAGCCACGGTGGAGAGGTTACTGTATACAGCCACTGAGTAGTGGTTACTGTATACAGCCACTTTGTAGTGGTAACTGTATACAGCCACTGTGGAGAGGTTCCTGTATACAGCCACTGTGTAGTGGTTCCTGTATACAGCCACTGTGGAGAGGTAACTGTATACAGCCACTGTGTAGAGGTTACTGTATACAGCCACTGTGTAATGGTTACTGTATACAGCCACTGTCGAGAGGTTACTTTATACAGCCACTGTGGAGTGGTTACTGTATACAGCCCCTGTGGAGAGGTTACTGTATACAGCCACTGTGTTGTGGTTACTGTATACAGCCACTGTGAAGTGGTTACTGTATACAGCCACTGTGAAGAGGTTACTGTATACAGCCACTGTGGAGTGGTTACTGTATACAGCCCCTGTGTAGTGGTAACTGTATACAGCCACTGTGTAGTGGGTACTGTATACAGCCACTGTGTAGTGGGTACTGTATACAGCCACTGTGTAGTGGAAACTGTATAAAGCCACTGTGGAGAGGTTACTGTATTCAGCCACTGTGAAGTGGTTATTGTATACAGCTACTGTGTAGTGGTTACTGTATACAACCACTGCGTAGTGGTTACTGTATACAGCCACTGGGGAGAGGTTACTGTATACAGCCACTGGGAAGTGGTTACTGTATTCAGCCACTGTGGAGTGGTTATTGTATACAGCTACTGTGTAGTGGTTACTGTATACAGCCATTGTTTAGTGGTTACTGTATACAGCCACTGGGGAGAGGTTACTGTATACAGCCACTGTGTAGAGGTTACTGTATACAGCCACTGTGAAGTGGTTCCTGTATTCAGCCACTGTGAAGTGGTTATTGTATACAGCTTCTGTGTAGTGGTTACTGTATACAGTCACTGTGGAGAGGTTACTGTATACAGACACTGTGTAGGGGTTACTGTATACAGCCACTGTGTAGAGGTTACTGTATACAGCCACTGTGAAGTGGTTATTGTATACAGCTACTGTGTAGTGGTTACTGTATACAACCACTGCGTAGTGGTTACTGTATACAGCCACTGGGGAGAGGTTACTGTATACAGCCACTGGGAAGTGGTTACTGTATTCAGCCACTGTGAAGTGGTTATTGTATACAGCTACTGTGTAGTGGTTACTGTATACAGACACTGTGTAGTGGTTACTGTATACAGCCACTGTGGAGAGGTTACTGTATACAGCCACTGTGGAGAGGTTACTGTATACAGCCACTGTGGAGAGGTTACTGTGAGTACACTTAATCTTCCCAAATTAAATTTTAAAAAGTTCGCAAGTATGGGACATTGGGATCCTTTTATAAGTTTTCGTTTTGCTATATACTCTCTCTCTCTCTTTTTAAACAGAAGCCATGCCCAGAGATCTCCACCTCCTTCCTTAGTAGATTAGTATTTTGGTGGATGAATTCGTAAGTGAACTATTGAAGTGTTTTTTTTAATTGAAGTGTTTCATTGAGTGTTTAAGACAAAGTTTTAGGTTCACTTATGTGTTATGATGAATTTTATTTCTAAAGAAAAAAATGTAGGTTTAATCCATGTGTTATGATGAATTTAATTTTAACAGATTTTTTTTTAAAAGATTAAATTTAAATGTTTTATGATGAATTTTTATTTTAAAGAAAATACTTTAGGTTAAATTCAGATGTATTATGATGAATTTCATTTTGAAGAAAATAATTCCAAAGTATAGCAATGAACAAATTATTCCCCACAGACTGGTATTGTCAGGGTACAAGAAAGACTTACAAGAGGATGATATCTGGGACTTGAATCCACGCGATGCAAATACCAGTGTCAACCCGAAGTTCTCAAAAGCCTGGAAGGCAGAGCTTGAAAAATGGAAGATGAGAGAGTAAGCTCGACATACCGACTGTATTTTTTCTCAATTCAGATCTTATATTCTTATAAGTGGATTGAAAACTTGGATCGTTGAAAAAAAGTCTTTAACTAGACGGTTATCAACAAAATAGGAGTACATGAATATATTAACGAAAACATTTGTTAAGTACGTTTTCAAATCAAATACTTTAACAGTTTTCTGATTTTTTTCTAGACTTACAAGCTTTGATTTTTATGATACTTTTGTTGTGTAATTTAAAAAATATTTTTGCTGTTATTTACCTTAAACCACCATGTGAATCATAATGGACTCATCCAGATCAATACATGGTTACATGGTAGAGTCAACTAATGTTACCCAGGGGTGTTTACACTACGAGAGTAAACAGTAAAATCTGACTGATTTAACGTAAATTCGCTGATCTTACAGAAATACCAGTGTGACTTTTAACCGAGAACCCCGTGACATACAGGAAGACCGACGCACCTCAGAAAAAACACCACTGCTACGACAAAGGGCGGGAACATCAGAGGTGGAATTCCGTGGAACTAAAGTGGAAAAACAGAAAAGCAAAGCTTCGTTGTTTAGGGTGTTGGTTAGAGTATATGGGTTTGACTTCCTCAGGGCGTGGGGATGTAAGTTCCTCTACGACCTCATGCAGTTTGTCAGTCCCACTCTGTTGGGGTAAGTAAGATTATTGTGTAGGATTGGGTTCTCCATTTGAGGAGGAAAGATATCTGTTTTAAAAGCATGAATGTATGGAACGACTGTTATACATATAAATAACAAAAGACATCCAAAGTTGTGGTAATGGTTATATAGAAAAGAAATGACAGTCTTTCTAACATTTCCCTAATACTTTCACCGCTGAAGAAGTTCATTGTTTAATATATAAGATGGACAATCTATGACGTCACACACTGTTGTACTGTTCACCTGAATATCTAATACAGTGAAAATGTAACATAGTTTTGTCTGACATATTGTTTTTTTTTATTTACATAATATGATTCACTTGTATTTCGTCAATTTTAACTTTTATCTATATATAGTGTACTGTACGTACCACAAATGTTCACTGCAGTTTAATTTTCGCCTACTTCGCTCAGTCTGTGATGAGGGCAAATTCATCATAACAGAAGATATAAGTATACAACACAATATACAGATTGATTAAATGTGAAGATGGAAATTAATACTGGGCGAAAATTCATTTTATGGTCAAAGGGCGAAAGTTTGGCTGAAAGTTTCCTAACTGATGATAAGCATACTTACCCTTTTAATTCACTGAATGATGAACGATCTTTTCTGACCTTGAGATTTGTTTGGACCTTTACAGTGTGTTAATAGCCTACACACAGAACAAGGAACATGAACAGGAATGGAAAGGCTACGTCTACGCTGCCTCCTTCTTTGTTGTCGCTACCATCCAATCGCTGTGCTTCCATCAGAACTTCCATATCGGCATGACAACCGGAATGCGGATAAGATCAGCACTCATTACAGCTGTTTATAAGAAGGTATATAGTCACTGTGTTTTATGTAATGGTCTTGCCAGCGTTGATAAAATATGTGCCTGAATCTGTGAAGGATTTTAAGTTTTTGTCGCTTATTGGGGCCACCTCCTAGTCATATGCTCTACCAAATGTGCTAAAGAGAAATTTTTTCCAGCCAAGACAGTAGGAAGTGGTCAGTATTTTTCCAGGGTGATATATAATTCCCCTCCAGGAGTTAAAAGAATTATGTTTTCAATGCCTCCACTAGGGTCAAACCACTTACCAGGCACCTCTGGTGTACTAGTCTGCTCTACCTAATGTGTTAAAAGAGAAAATCGTTCCAGCCAAGTCAGTATGAAGTATTTTTCCAGGGTGTCATGATAAAGATATTGGAGTGATGATGATGATGATAACAAAACATTATGAAATGATGAGTGAGTATATGTGATGCAGTGAGCTTGCGAATGAGTGTAAGGGAGTATGAAAAAAAATTGTATCTATTTATGCATATTGTACCAGAAAAAACTTTGAAAAATAAAAATAATAAAAAAAGTATTTTTCCAGGGTGGCATTTATTATAATCGCTCTCCAGATATCGTTTTTATTTGCCGCTGCTAGGGGTCAAACCACTTACAAGGCACCTCTGGTTTACTTGTCTGATGAGCCAAAGAGAAATTCTCACAAGTGTAGTCAGAAGGAAATGGCTATTATTTTACCAGGATGACACAAACATCTCATTATACTGGTTTGTGTTGTTCTAATTCTGCATCAGAGATCGTTAAAGAGTAAATGAACAGGTGAAGTAAAGAGAAATAAAGTGTTAATGGTTTTTTTCCAGTCCATCTGTATGAACAGCGAGGCTAAGAAACAGAAGACGGTGGGAGAGATTGTTAACCTCATGTCTGTGGATTGTCAGCGCATGCAGGACCTCTCCGGCTACTTGTGGATGTTGTGGTCAGCTCCTGTCCAGATCATTCTGGCCATGACGCTTTTGTGGAATCAACTTGGACCCGCTGTTTTGGCAGGTCAGTTTCAACAAAACATATTTGTTTTTATTGGAAACAAAAGTAGGAGTAATTTTTCGCCTTTTTTAGCCCTCCAAAAATAAGTCCACAGCATAATAAATGTAGTAAATAAATGTGAAGGTGAAGTTAACACTGGGCGAAAATTGATTTTATGGGCGGAGGGCAAAAGTTTGACCTGGCGAAGATTTCCTGGTACAATGTATACAGTATTTCCAGTATCACTAATAGTTGACAGTTGTGTTTCTGTTACATCATTACATGTGCACCGCATACATACAACTTAATACTGTCTTGATACACAGTAATAATGACTTAGCCACGACTCGAACCAAATAACACTATCACATCAGAACTGGTAGATTATGTGTGTATTGAGTGACAAAATACAACCTTTCTGGTTCATCTCCAGTCCTGAATTTTGAGGATCCCTGTCCATCTGTAGGCAAAACACTAGAAAGTTCCTCTGTCCTTTTTTTTCACCACTACTGTACCTCCCCTTAATTTCCTTAAGGATCCCTGTCTCACTACACTGTGGTTTATCCTATATACAGTAAACTCCCCTTAACTTCCTTAAGGATCCCTGTCCTACTACACTGGTTATCCTATATACAGTAGCCTCCCCTTAACTTCCTTAAGGATCCCTGTCTCACTACACTGTGGATTTTCCCATATACGGTCACCTTCCCTTAACTTCCTTAAGGATCCCTGTCTCACTACACTGTAGATTTTCCCATATACGGTCACCTTCCCTTAACTTCCTTAAGGATCCCTGTCTCACTACACTGTAGATTTTCCCATATACGGTCACCTTCCCTTAACTTCCTTAAGGATCCCTGTCTCACTACACTGTAGATTTTCCCATATACGGTCACCTTCCCTTAACTTCCTTAAGGATCCCTGTCTCACTACACTGTAGATTTTCCCATATACGGTCACCTTCCCTTAACTTCCTTAAGGATCCCTGTCTCACTACACTGTAGATTTTCCCATATACGGTCACCTTCCCTTAACTTCCTTAAGGATCCCTGTCTCACTACACTGT